TTCACGGGATCTTGGCTCTGGGCCGGAATACACGTGAGCGCCAGGACTAGCACAAGGGACGAGAACCTCATGATGAGATGAAGTGGCAATGAACAAAGCTCTTCACGAAAGATCTTTGAGCCAGTGTTGCTACCTCCATCTACAGTATCCAGTAGACATGTCTGTCTTGCTGTTGAAAAGCACGTGGAGCTTTCTAGAAGTTCAAAAATGAACACAAACTTTGCTTTGCCGCTTTTACAAATTCTTGGCTGGATCTTTGGATGTGCTGCGCAATGCTTCTTCGGGCTGCTCTGCACTCACCTTCAGTCAAGATCAGCTTGGTTGCCGCTGTGTCCCAGGCAATGGCTGAGCAATGGCTGGGAGTCCTAGTCCTAGGCATGAACTCGTGGAAAACAACCCAAGTACAGTCAATACCAAGGCGAGGATTGAAGTCAGATCTAGTTTTGGTACAGAAGATCCTTGTGGCTCAACACGAAGTGGTCCTTTTGTCTTGGTAAATGCGGATCTGATTGCAAGTGCCGCGTCCATTCTCATCTAAAGTTCTAGCCTTGGGAAGAACAAGCGTCTGTGATGGTCCCCTGCACTTTCCAATACTAGTTCAGAACTAGTTCAGCTGAAAAACGATGCTGCAAACAAACATGTGTGCAGAAAGTTCTTTTGTGTTCGGATGTGAAAGTCCAAATCTCACAGTTCCCAGGCTGGTCCTGCCTGAAGAAAAGGGTTCATCCTGCCGCGAACGACACATGACACATCCCACCGAATGTTGGATCGAAAATCAACCAAACGGCGCTCAGTCATTTCTCTGCTTTTTCTCGCTTTGCATTGAGAAGAAGTCCTCAGAAAAGCCTCTTCACTGTATTGGAGACGTCGTCGCCCAACATGGTCTACATCAAACACTCGAGCGCGACTTGCACTTGCATGCAATCCGTTTCGTTGTGCTGCATCCACTCGAACCCTGCAGTAAAAGGTTCGCAAAAAGATAAAACCATAGAAGAAATGCCTCAGATTGTCGCTGCAATGTCTTTGGCGGCGAGGTTGGGCCTGCTGCTGCTTCACCCTGCCGCACGTTGCTCTACTAGATCGCATGCTGGGATTCTTGCAACCAATCTAGTCAGTCCTTTCAACTTCCAATATCCAGGAATCCAGGTCTTTCACTTCACGCCCCGTCACACCTTGGCATCAAGGTCTCGTGCAGTTCAGCTTCATCACTGGACGCACTGGTCGTAGAGCTGCTAGCTGCACCACCAGATCCGGCTGAGGCCGCTGAAGCGGCCCCTGAGGCCGGTGAGCTTTCGGGCTCTAAGCCCAGAAGGAGCATGAGACTGCGGCAAACGTCATCGCCCATGAGTTGCAGTTGCGCATCTGCGGAGTGAATGTCGCGCGCTTGGGCGTAGGCATCGAGGATAATCGTGGTGAAGAAGTTCAGGCCGATGATGGACATGAACAAGCAGTACAAGGCCAGCATGAATGCGACCTCAGTGGAATGTGGATCCTGAAAGGGATGCAGGTCGTCGAAGACTGCCATGGGCATCCCACAGGTCAGGAACAAGAGTTCCGAACACGAGCGCGCTGGCGTGGCAAACTGAGCATAGCGCGGACCAAAGGCGATGTACATCACGATGCCGAAGCCACAAAGCAAAAGACCATACGCGAGCAAAAACATCATAATCCGCTTGGCACAAAGCAAAATGACACTGGGCAGCCAACGAAGTTGGTCAAACAAAGACAAAAAGGCAAAGACAATGGTGACGTAGAGGAGAAGCCAAGCTGTGCCATGGCACGGATCATCATCCAGGAAAAGAACATATGACTTCTCGATGGTTTGCTGAAGGCCAGAGTGATCTCGACAATCATTGATGCTGCATGGATCCGCACCATTGAAAATACTTCGCAGGACTCCAGCCAGCATGAAAACGCTCACAATGATTTCCATGACTGCTTCGAAGTGGTTCACACACTTCAAGCGCGAGGCCCGGCCAACGAGAAAGTGGCTGAGATGCTCTTTGAAGACATGTAAGGGGACCAAGCGATGCTGATTCTCTTCATCTCTTTTCAAAGCCAGCAAAGCACAGCAGTTGCGTGGCAAAAAGAAAATGAACGTCCCCAGCGACTGCGTGATGAACCACAGCATCACCGAAAAGACTCCAAAAGCCAGCAAGCCATCTTTAATGAAGTCTCCAGTCAAGGGGCTGTCCAAAACTCTTTCCTCACGAAGCTCTAGACGGCAAACATATAACCCGCTCCATTGATTTGTAGAATCGACTCTTTCGAAGGTCATGCGAATGAAAAACCACTCCACTTGGTGACTCTCAGATTCATTGAAAGAAGTTCCGAAAGAAGCGGAACCAGGCACTTTATGGAAGATCAAGAAGCTCACGTGAAAAGCCAGCGGCCGGCAAAGGTGCAGCAACCCCCAATGATGATTTCGGCACGTACTCCGAACCTCGTTGCCCTGGAAGCACGAGCAGGGAAAATCCTCCGGAAGACCGCTCTGAACCTGTTTTTCTGGGCAGCCCCTTGCGATTGGGACACAGTCATCCGACTGGCCGCTTTTCCTTCTCACCGAGAGGTTGAGAGAGGACTCGATGGCCGCCAAGCGTAGCTCCAGGTCGGCCAGTTGTTCCTGCAGCGGCGCCAGCATTGGACTGGACGAGTGTATCTCATATTCGTCGAAGATTGGATCCACCTCCAATCTCAGGAGGGGAATCGAGTCATCTCCCCAAGGAACGCAACGTGGATCATCGCCAGCTCGAAGATGACGATCCACAAAATCGGCTGAACAGTTCATGTGATCCAGTGGCTCATCCGCTGACAGGACCACTCCAACCTCTTTCATGTCACAGCTCCAAAAGAATGGGAGATGGTCATCCATCCCATGCTTAAACCAGCAAAATGTTTGAAAAGCGTTCAAAGTTTTCGTGACATCATCCGCCTGCATGGTGACTTGCCAAGTAGGTACCACTTCCCTCTCTGACAATCGCATGGCATCACTCGATCCATCCGGATAAAGATTGTCCAGGATTTGCTGCCACGCGGCAGTGGTAAATCTTCTGGAGCCATCCACAACCGTCAAGGCCCTTCCATAGATGCCGGCAGTGAGGCTTAAAGCGACGATGTGCCAAGACTTCTTATAGCTGCAAAGCCCACGGCAAAAGCATTTCAACCACGTCTGCGGGGTGGCCCCAGGCGAGCATAGAGCGAATCGAAAATTCAACATAGCAAGATTGGAAAGGGCTTATGTTGTGTTATGTTTTTTTATGCTCATCCGACACAAACCAGACCGGAACGCACGTGAGTGCCAAGACAAGCACAAAGGAGGACAGCCTCATGATGAAGACAAAGAGAAGGGTTCCTGGTGAAAGTCTTCTTGAGCCAGTGTTGCTATCGGGAGACAGGTAGACAAAAGACACATGGCCATTGAGGTCATTCAATCCTTTAATATCATTCAATTCCAATCACTTCCAACCAAACAGGAGACCCTTCCTTATAAATCCTTTATTGGAAAGGTATTGAGCACCTCAAGTGTCCCACGAGAAACCCGTCGAACTTGCCCGAACAAGTAAATCAAATCTGGTCGCACCTTGCAATTTGCCTTGAGCTCATCTGTCACGATGTCCAAGGCGACGACTGAGTCCTGCTGGCAGGGTAACAAAGGTGGGACCCTCTGCCTTCGTTTATCAAATATGGGCAGCATGCGTGGAACACGAAACAGTTTAGTGCATGCAAGTTCAATGGAAGAATGGAATTGTCATCTACAAAAACGTCCTCTTTGCTAAACTCCTCTGGTGAAAGCATGGCTTGATCACCCTACTATATATTACAATAAATTTACTTGTCTTCTTGGAAAGCGGGGTGAGAAGAAGTGCGAAATGATACCTTCAGCGTCCGCAACGAGCCTGGATGCGGTACAGCACTGGCAGCATGACATAGGCTAGCTGCTCGTCAAAACAACCCTGTTGTGAGCGAGTGCGTGACAATCGCTTCCCAAAATGGGTCAAGTGAAGGACATTGACATTGAAGAGCTATACCATGCCAAAGGCACGGAAGATATGCTTATACAAACATACTTGTACTCAGTTGTGATTCGCCTTGTCGCCACGCTTTTTTCATCTCTTCTATCGGCTTCCAAACTTGGCGGGACCCTCTTTACATGTCAATGAAGGAAATTCCCCGGGACCCTCTTTACGTCAATAAACGCAGGCACATGCAAGGCTTCAGCTGTGAGAAACATTGAGAAACCTCGCGCTGCCTACACTGAAAACCAAAAGTCGTGAATTTGCTACTGAAGTGCATCAAAACCTGCAACACCCAATTCGCTCAAGTTGGCTCTTTCAAACTGGACAGGCGGATGTATCCTTGAGTCGGAGTAGCTACTACCTGCCATGCATGCCAATTCATCGCCAGCCACGGTGGCCCCGGCCACGGCCCCAGCCACGGCCGCCCCAACCTCGGTG